CTGATAGCTCAGATTATATGATTTGATGTGCTCCATTTCTTTTTTCTGTCCTGTATTTAGATGCAAGACAGAGGAGATCTAGAATAGAAATGCCAAGATATGTTAATAATTTATTGATAGCTTTCATGTGGGGGGAGAATGTAGGATGTGTTCATATATTCTTACGTACGCAGTAACATAGTTTGTCCACGGAAGAGACAGAGGAAGAGCGTGTCAGATTGGATCTGGTCAGGAGACAGCTAAGCAAGTTACTTTAACAGAAGGAATTACTACGAAGACTTCTGTACAGGACAGAAAAGTTTTCCTGTCCTCCCGTAGGGTCCATGGTTGAGTTCGGAAAGCAAACAGGACAGACTAACAAGAGAAAAGCGCATAGACTTGTTTAACATGGTGTTCTATGACACGGAGCCTTCACAAGGAAATGAAGACTCACGAGACTGGTTAGAGCTGTGAATTTCTCAGCGGGCGTTCTGAAGAGTGGCGGGCGTGGGCGAATGTAACAGGCCAGGGAGTAGGAGGCGAGTGTAATAATCTGGGGAAAAGTGAGCAAGGCCCTGTGTTAGGTAGGATTCTTCTCGGTGTCCCTTTGTCTTTAGAGATAACGGTGCCCCTTTCCTCTGGGTACAGAGAGGACACCTCTCACAGGAGGGCTCTGTGACCTGTTTCAGGGAAGAAGGGGGAGAGAGGGCATAGGTTAGAATGACCTTACTGCTTCTGCTCGTTTCTCAAACTTCTCTGGTTTAAAATCCTTAGTATGCCAAGGTGGCCCATTTCCTGAACCTCATCACTTGTTAACCAGGTGTCCAAGAGTCCAAAGGGATATTGAGGTTCACGGAGGTCACAGACTACGAGAGGCAGCTGACCTCTAAGGCTGGGGGAACAAAGGGAAGGCGTTAGGATAATGGAAACTTAAACACTTGGATGATGGGTGTTGCCGAGGGAGAACCCAGACCCCTGAGGAGAGGGCACTGGAGGGCTAGCTGTGCTGGTGTGTCAAGGGGGCTGGGGATATAGAGAAACTGCAAAGTCGAGTCTGTTGCTCTGATTGGAACCAGTTGCTCCTGCCAGGATGAAGACTTATCGCTAGAGCCATGTAACAGAATAGGAAGCAGTTAAGGGAGCCAGATCCCTCTCTACCCCCCACCACTAGACCTAACAGGGAGCCTGCAGCCCGGGACAGATGTGTTTTGCAGAGTCCCAGCCCCAGCAGCTACAAAGGAGGGTGGGTTTGGACACAAAGACACAATTAAATTAAAAACCAACATAGGGAGACAACATAAACGTGTGTATACATAAGAGAGAAAGAAAGACAAAGGAAGAGAGTGCATTTGAGTGAGCTAACAGGAACAAGAATGTAGCCAAGAGCCGGCTGGGGTAAAGATTGTTGCTACTCAGTTATAAAAATAATCATAATCATAGCCTGCACATAAGAACCTGGTGCAGAGGGGAATACCATTAAGGACCCTTATTTAGCAGGAGGGTGGGGGTGGTGATTAAGTTCTAAAGTCAGGGCATTAGGGGAAAATCACATATAAACACTAGAATCAGGCACTAAGACTCTAAGAGCCTGTTGAAAGGAGAAAATATTTGTATCTCCCATCAGGTGCTCAGTTGGTTACATACGTGTGCATACTTGCTGCGTGGAATGCAGTGGAAAACCTCTCCTCCTGCCCCACAGGTATTATTACTTTCTCGCTCTCTTCTGCTTTCTCACCAAGTATGGAGAGACGAGTTCTTAGAAGTTACATGTATATGTGCTACAGCTTCCCCTTAAATCATACCACGTATATGCTGAGCACTTTCTCATATACTGTTTTACTTGTTGATCACGTTGACCCTAGAAATGGTATTAATATGCTTCCATAATCAAAAAGAGTTCAGATGCACAGGAAGGTTGGCTAATGTGCTATGGGCACAGCCAGTGAATGATAGAACCTATGTTTCAAACTCAAGTGTATCCTGTTCCAACCCTATGCTCTATAATTAGCATAGCGCTCCCCCCACCTCTGACAGTTCTGCCCTGACTTTATGTCTAGGGTAAATCCTGTCATCTCTACCATCAAAATAAGGGGCCTATGCAAGGCCTTCAAGGTACAGAAGACCTGCTGCATGGCAGCCGCTGGACATGTGTGGCTATTTAAATTTAAATTAAGTGAAACTAACTAAAATTTAAAAGTCAGTTCCTCAGTCACACTAGACCCATTTCAGGAGCTACGTACGGCTAATGACAACCACATTAGCACTGAACGTTTCCATCCTCACAGAAAGTTCTGTGGGAGATCATAGTGAGTGAGAACATGATTCTAAAGCTAGTTAAAAAAACAAAACAAACAAAAAAAAAAACCTCTGCATCCTACTGGCTGTGCATTCATGGGCATGTTTCTTAACCTCTCTGTGCCTCAGCTGCCACATCTGTAAAATGGGAATAGTCAAGGCAGTTCCTCACAGGGTTCAGATGAGAGTTAAGGCACTATTTATAAAGTTCTTAGTGTGGTACTTCATACATCATGGGTGCCGAATACATGTTACCTAAAGGGGAAAAAGGTCTAACATGTGATTTTCTAAAAACTCCACTATTTCTATTTACCTTCTAATATTTTTATTTGAGAAAGTGAAGAAGTTTGCAGCAGGGAAAGCAGTATCTTAATAATTTATGTTTGGAGTGCTTCATGGAGTCGGGGAATCATATATAAATTCACAAGATTATTTTATTTAATATACATTACTACAACTCATACCATGTACCGGGTTTCGATCTAAGAACTTAACACATATTCAGTTCTCCAAATGGGCCTGTGGTGTAGCTATTCTCTACCCTCATTTTCAATACCCTTTGCATTTCCTGCCCTACACATTTTACCACTTTTCTGGATAAGTCCTGCAGGAGTGGGGCGGGGGGGACAGAGATGAAAGAATAAGATTCTACTCTTATGAAGAGAGTAGAGAAACAAATAACTATAGAGGGAATATTATCTCAGGCTAGATATTTTGTGCGCTATCTAACTTAATGTAACAGCCCTATGAGCTGGGCAATATTTTCCTCATTTTGTAGATGTGGACATAAGGTGTTCAAACCAGTCCAGCATCACACAGTTCTGGGTGAGACCTGTGCTTCTTACCCAGGCCTAATTCCAGATCCCTTGTATTTTTTTTTTTTAATGTTTTATTATTTCTAGGAGAGAAAGAGAGAGACAGCGTGAGCAGGGGAGGGTCAGAGAGAGAGGGAGTCACAGACTGAAACAGGTTCCAGGCCCTGAGCTGGCAGTCAGCACAGAGCCCGACGCGGGGCTCGAACCCACGAACCACGAGATCATGACCTAAGCGAAAGTCGGACGCTTAACCGACTAAGCCACCCAGGCGCCCCTTGATCCCTTGTATTTTTCATAGCATCTTGATATCTATTAATAGGGAAAGTAATTTAAAAATACTTTTTTAATGTTTATTTTTGAGAGAGTGAGAGGGAGATAGAGAGAGAGAGAGAGAGAGAGAGAGAGAACGTGAGCACAAGTAGGGGAAGGTCAGAGAGAGAGAGGGAGAGAGAGAATCCCAAGCAGGTTCCATACCCAGCATGGAGCCCAAGGCAGGGCTCGAACTCATGGACAGTGAGATCATGACCTGAGCTGAAATCAAAAGTCAGATGCTCAACTGACTGAGACACTCAGCTGCCCTAGGGAAGACAATATTTTTGCATGTCCAAGTATAATGCAAGGTAGAAATAAAGGAATATAAATGAATTGCCTTAGGAATTAAGAGGAAGAGGGGATTCCTTGTAGTCAGGAGGTCAAGAGAGTCGTCTTTGAAGAGGTAGCATTTGAAATGGAGCTTGAAGTTTGGTAGCATGTGGGCAGGTGGGACTGGGGGAGAAAGATTCCAGGCACATGGAGGAACACCAAGACAGACTCTGGCAAGATAAGGGTACCACGAGTAGTTTGCAGAGAGAGGCCAAGCATGGGGTTCTGCCTGGCTGGGAAGGACCCTTGTCACTGACCTTCTTTGAATTACCGGTGCATGGGCACAGTAAAAAGTAGAGTAACTCTTAATTGTGCTATTGATTTTAAATCCTCAACAGAGGATGTGCCCCTTTATTGTAGAAGGACAGACCACTCCCCCCAGCTCCTACCCTCCAAGTATGACACTGGCCACTGGATGTGTTTGGATAAGTCCCTCTCTCTGCCTTTTTCTCTCTGTGCTTCTTGGTAGCTGCAAATTCCCATGGTTCTCAGCCTGTGGTCTTCACCGATGTGCACCCTGCCCTGTGTTCCAGGAGATAGATTCTGTGGGGGACAAAGGGGAAGCCCAGGACTTTCCATGAGTTTTGGGAAAGGAGGATCACAAGTGGAGCCAGTCTGGAGTTCTCCTGGCCCAGGCATAGGAACTTTCTCCAGGATTGGGATGATGCTTTAGGGTCAACGAGCAAGGCTAGATTGAACCGAAGGGCATGGACCACGGGCCAGGACCAATGTTAAGAGATTTGGTGGGAGGTTGAGAGTTTGAAATTGAAGACTGAAATCACTAAAGAGAAGACCAGATGGTTGTTGATACCCCCTCCTGCCCCAATCCCCTGCCCTTTCCCTAACCACCATCGCAGGGCAAAGGAAGATGGAGAACCCCCTGCTAATTTTCCACTGCGCTTTGCTCTCTGTTATGTAGTACTTCAGTGACAGGAGCCACTCAGGAGAGTCGGGGCAAGGCTGGCTGAGGTTCTCAAGGAGCTGAGTTTTGAGTTCAGGTGCCTGCGTGGCAGTGGAATGATGCTTCCTGACCTCTCAGACCTTTGAGACCTCCGGGCGGCCTTAGACTTCACCTGGAGCCTCGTGTCCAGGATGCGGCCATCTAGGGGAATTCCAGGGAAAGGTGGCAGGTAGAGTATCCTTTCTGAGTTTTATTCTCTCTCATCCTCCCTTCTTTCTGTGTGCCTGTGTTACTCTGTTGTGTCTCCTTCTCCTCAAGATTCATCGACCAGTGATGCAGGGGTATTTATTTTATGTTCTTGTCAACAGAGATATCATGGACTGAAAGGTGATGGGTACCCCAATGAGTTCACTACGAGATCTCAAAGATTCCAAGCCACTGGCTGCTCCAAAGCATAAGGCACCCTTCTGGAGAGTCGGCAGAAAGGAAGCCTGGAGGAGGTGAGGAAACATCGCTCTTCCCTCTGCCCTTGACTCCATTGGCCTTTAGCTGTCAGATGGCTGGGTCCAGGCCTGATGGGCTTTTCCCCGTGTGTCCTTCCACAGGCTCTGCTTTTGGCCAGAGGACAGACCACTTCCTCAGTTCTCTGGGGAACCACTGAAGGACAGTGAGGAAGATGTTGCTGGTCCCCAGGACAGAAACATAGCAGCTGGAGCCAGGAAGCACCTGGAGTGGGACTCAAGCCCAGCACCCCTTCAGACTGACGCTCCCTGGGCTGCCTGTGGTGCCAGAATGGACTGTTTTTGCTTTGCCATCACCTGCCTAACACGGTTCTAGATGCTTTTGAATGGTTGGCTTTCTTTCCTTTTTTTTTTTTTCTCCTCCCCCACTGTCTTCTTTATCTTCTCTTGGCCCTGAGAACTGTAAGAAAAGAATTGCTTTATAAAGTATAATTCTGTTGCTGATGTTAGCCTTGTTTATGAATAAATTCTGTCCCTAACGATTTTCTGAATTGCAATCCCAGGTTAGCTAGTAAATGGGACTGCATGGTTTGGTTTGTGTAGTACTGATCCTTAGATTAAAAATACATTTTCTTACTTTCTTTCTTTCCTTTTTATTTTTTTGTGAGTTTGGATCCAGGTAATGGCCCGAGTCACATTTGCCTAGCTACTGAAGCGATCTCAATGTGGTATCGCTTAGAGTTGAAATATAATCAAACATATATTATACCTGGGGCTCTTGCACGCTATTTGATATATATGTTACGCTACAAAGAAACACAAACCTTGTATGCTGAAATTTAATTCCTGTCTGATCCTGCAGTTAGAATGGTAGAGAAATTATAAATATCAGAAGTGGTTTCAGATACCCTGAATGTAAGCTAACCAGCAGTAAGGGACAGTTTGGAAATGCCGTTTTCCGAGGCAAAGCAGGAATTGGAGATCAGCTGACCTCGTCAACAGGGTTGCTCAGGTCTGTCTGTGGGTCTGCTCGTTTTGGAAGAATCAGAGAACAAGGCCTGCTTCTGTGCTTGAGTTTACGGGAATTGTGGCGTTTCTGGCTGAATGCTCTGTAACTGTGCCTGCCTCGCAATAAAACACCTTTGGTTGACTCAGCAACAAGGTCTCTGTCAATTTCCTGCAATATTGTGTCCTCAGTGCTTTGTAAGAAAGTCCAAGGTAGACCTTTGAGTGGCTGACTGGTTTTAGATCTCAGCCAGATGAAACTTAGTGCACTTTCGGTGGTGTCCAGAGTTACCTGTTGTTTACACGTGGGGTCCGTGTGTGTGGTCAGGCTTCTCTTCTTCATGTTCTAGTCAACTCCAGACCTCTCTACTTATGGCACAACCCAGTTAGGCCAGTGCGCTGCCATCTGTATTATTCTCTCATTTATCTCTGGAGTCCCCATTTATTTCTGTGAGACTGTAGAACAGGCCACAAACTCTCAGAATGTCAATTCCCTCATCCACAAAATGGGAATACTGATCCTGCATTTATGGTGATAAGCGCCTATAAAGGAGCACCACGTGGATACTTTACACATTGTAAACACACAGGGATGTGGCAGCACTCAGTAAATGGTGATCGTTTTATTTGTTAGTAAAGAGTTGAAAGAACACTCTCAAGTCCTTATTACATCTTAAGTTGACTATACAGTTGACTGAGAGCACTGAGTAGCCTCTAAATAGCATCTTAGGCTTCTTTGCTTAAAGCCAATAGAAAGGTGAAGATTTACGGGAGAAGAGAATCTGCCACTCCCTACCTTGACCTTGTAGCCAAATACCTTGATTCCTCCCTGTGTGGAATACAGCAGGTGGTTTACCTGCTTCGCAGTGAAATTTACCATTCACGTGGACGTAGGAGATACCATCTTCCCCACTTGTTTACAACATCAGGCCCATACCATCTGAGGGCAATGGCGTCTCTCAATACTGGCAAAGAGGTCCCTTTCACCACGGGAGAAGAATCTGACCCATCTCTGGCCTTGGCACACTGTGTCTGCCACTTCTGTGGAAAGCACTTTTGATAATGCCCGTGCTGTCTCCACCATCGCACCTGAGATTTCTGGATGACCAAACTGTGAAGCGAAAGCAGGAGCTAAGATGATTCATTTCACATTGGGTGGTGAATAAACTAGTTGGTCGCTGATTGCCATGGTGTGTATTTCGGTCCCACAGGTATCCCTGGACTTCAAGCCATGCATAGTAGAAAGAACATTTTCTACTTTCTACCTTGAAGTCATTAAAACGGTAATAATGACAACACAAAAGCAGGTAACAATTTCTAAGTATTTGCTTCATGCTGGGCATTGGGCCAAGATCTTTGTAAGCAGTGGCTCATTTAATCATTGCAACAAATATATGAGGTAGGTTCTTTGAACTCCCATTACCTGGATGAGGAACTGAGGCATGAAATCGCTGTGTAAGTCCTTATAGTTGACTATACAGTTGACTGCGACCAGGCTTCCCAGTTGGTAAGAGTCATAGCCGGAATGCTCCAGGTCTGCCTGACTCCAAAATTTGGGCTCTTCACCACATTGGTCAGCTGGTTCTCCCCTTGGTCCCAGTCCCTGTCTGCTTGACTGGCTTCTGACTGTGAACCTTCCCTTTGCACCTTCGTTGTCCTTCCTTATAACTTGGGATGGTTAATTATCAACCTTTCCTGCCTGCTTCCCACAATAATTGTCTAAGCTCGTGGCAAATGTATGCCAACTAGTTGCAAATCAATATGAAAAGTAAAGGTGTTCTTCTGGATGGGGTCCAGGTTCGGCCTACCTTAGGCTGAATTCTTCTTCTGCTTAGCATTCAAAGATTTCAGTGCATCCTATCCAGAGGCGATCCTAGTGGATGCGAACGTTGAGTCTAAGAACTTTCTCAAGGGTAAATGAGAGAGCACCATGTACAGGCAAAATAATATTAGGTGGGCAAAATATGTGGTTGACAATGGTGTCTCAAACCTTAGTTCCTAAAGCTGTATCAAAGGACATCCTTTATATCACACAGAAACAGCCTTTTCCAGTTTGCTCCAACAGCTCATCCAGAAGGTGGTGTTATGGTGTATCTGTTGAGAGGACCACTGGAGTAGAAAGCAGTTTATGTATTTGTAGGCAGATCATAGCAGATGCAGTTGGTACCTGTCCGCGGCTCTGAGGGCTTTCTCTGGCTGTGGGGACTGTGTGATCCCAGGCCAGAAGTGCTGGGGTGTTCATTCTTCTCTCCACCAAGACTAGCCCTCAACCTCACTGAAGAGAGTTAGTATATAAATGCTTCAGCTCCTCACCCTTGGATAGGGCAACTGAGGCATGTTCTCCTCTGGCTAGGAGTTCCCCAGGGAGGTGACACTCTAGTTGCCCGTGATGGGAACAAATTTGTTAGCCCACTTTGGTTTGCTGCCCTTCTTTCCCTTGCTTCTCAACCAGTGTTTTCTGGAATCACTTCCCAAGTAAGTAATTACTTTTCTCGTAAATTCCCGACTCAGGCTCTGCTGCTGTGGGGAGCCCAGGTGAATTCAAAAGTCAGGTGCTACTGAAATAATAATGCCCCAGAGGAAATGCAGCAGTGCCAGTCGAGACTAAACCATTTCTCCCCTTGTCCTTCTACTGATACTTCTGCTCTGTTAGGAACTGGAAAGAAGTCTTTATAAATCTGAGACCCACGTGCCAGAGAAGTTTCCTTCCTGTGAAACAGGCACCTCCACAGGTTATGAGATACTTTTCCTTTAAATGAAAGACTCAACTAACATATGAGACCAGGCCAGAGTCACCTGATGGCAAATCAAATTACAGTTCACCGGCTAGAACAAGTAATTAAATATAAGGGGGTAATGGGAAAAGGAGGGAGTCACAATCCCAGAGCCCCCCTTTCACCTCTCAAGGACTTCCATTTGCCTTTGAATCACTTCTGCTTCAATTAACATTGATTGAGCCTGCCTAAAGTGCCTGGCTCTTGTCAAATCCCATTACACGGGCTCCAAGGCACTCTCTGTCCGCAAGCCTTTGTTGTGCTGGGACATTTTTGTGGGAATATTGAATATTGTGTGGAGTAGCTAACACATTGATCAGGGCTGTTATACAAGAGGTTTGCTTTTTCTGGCATGCCAGTTGTGTCAACGGCATTTCATCTTTGCCATTATCATTATCAACTTGAGCCAATTCTCTAAGTTCAAGTTACAATGGTCCAAAAAGCATGTCAGACTGACCTACTATAGCTTTTAAAGATAAACGTTGAAAATGTCAACCCCGTAAAGTAAGAGATGTGCCTGTTTCTTTGTTAAAGGCATCACACACCTACTTGGTTTACTTTTGGTGTTGGGAGGAGGACGCACAGAGAAACAGGTTTCTTCTCTGGGGTCCCGGTAAAGACTTTGATGTTTATTTTATCAGAGATGTAAATGGAACCGTGGTGTGTATCAGAGCCTGTCGTATCTCTTTTCTTACTTGTCTTTGCTAAGGTTTTGGAGGATAGGACTGTACTTTATGCAAGAATCCTATTAAGAGAAAAACCAGAGAATAACGGTGTTCCTAAAATATCCAGGGCTCTTTTATGTAAGGAAAAACATTTACTGCCCATTGGTAGCTTTTTAATGCTCACATTTTAAGTCTCATTAATAAGATTTTCCTAAACACTCACCTGTTACTTTTGCCACAAGTAAAACCATACTTTCTGCATCAAATGATTTTTAATATTTAAATACTGATTAGAAATAAGTAGACAGATCACCGAAATATTTCAATAAAATCTCTACCAGTGTCATTTAAAAGCTACACAAACTTAAGAGCAATGCACACACACACATACACAATAGTCATCATGGGGATTCAGAATGTATTATACCTACACTTAAAAGAGTAAGAAATGTTTATACTATGGATTTGAGTTATGTCTTCACTATTTATAAACTTGTTTTATCCCTTCCCTTTTTTTTTTAATGCTTATCAGTGTTTATATTTTCCTAAAGTTACAACAGTAATCAGAAAAAGGATGCAATCTCAGACTAGCTGAGTTTACAGATTGTGGGTTAAGTGCTCCTTGAGTTTTGTTTGGCATATGGGGTCTTAGTGGATCTCATCAAAGTTGATTCAGTCCTGGGCTGATGTTTTCTGGCATGAGATTTTTCTTAGAGTCAAGGTCCAGTTGCACCTCAGTCCCGAGGCAGTGAGCCTTCACTTCATCATGCCTTGGTTTCTCAGTCCTGTTTGATAAAATATACAGCAGCCTCTTTATCCGGGAGATGAAGGGAGGAGTCTGGACATCAGATTCTTGGGATTGCTGCCTCATGCATCAGCCTCCGACTGATTGCTATGTGTAACCTTGAGAGTGGATCACTTCTCTGGTCAGCCAAGAAAAATCTCAACATTTTCTTGACTTATTCAGCTTCAT